GAGGTGACAAAGAGCTCATCGTAAATGGTTACGTTGATGCAAGCTTTGACACTGATCCGAATGATTCTAAATTGCAAACCGGATACGTGTTTACATTGAACGGTGGAGCTGTCAGTTGGTGCAGTTCTAAACAAAGCATTGTGGCGGGAGCTACATGTGAAGCGGAGTACATAGCTGCTTCGGAAGCAGCAAATAAAGGAGTCTGGATGAAGGAGTTCATATCCGATCTAGGTGTCATACCTAGTGCATCGGGTCCAATGAAAATCTTTTGTGACAATACTGGTGCAATTGCCCTGGCAAAGGAATCCAGATTTCACAAGAGAACCAAGCACATCAAGAGACGCTTCAATTCTATCCGGGATCTAGTTCAGGTGGGAGACATAGAGATTTGCAAGATACATACGGATCTGAATGTTGCAGACCCGTTGACTAAGCCTCTTCCACAAGCAAAACATGATCAGCACCAAAGCTCCATGGGTGTTAGAATCATTACTGTGTAATCTAGATTATTGACTCTAGTGCAAGTGGGAGACTGAAGGAAATATGCCCTAGAGGCAATAATAATGTTATTATTTTATTTCCTTATATCATGATAAATGTTTATTATTCATGCTAGAATTGTATTATCCGGAAACATAATACTTGTGTGAATACATAGACAAACTAAACGTCACTAGTATGCCTCTACTTGACTAGCTCGTTAATCAAAGATGGTTATGTTTCCTAACCATAGACATGTGTTGTCATTTGATTAACGGGATCACCTTATTGGGATAATGATGTGATTGACTTGACCCATTCCATTAGCTTAGCACCCGATCGTTTAGTATGTTGCTATTGCTTTCTTCATGACTTATACATGTTCCTATGACTATGAGATTATGCAACTCTCGTTTGCCAGAGGAACACTTTGTGTGCTACCAAACGTCACAACGTAACTGGGTGATTATAAAGGTGCTCTACAGGTGTCTCCAAAGGTACATGTTGGGTTGGCGTATTTCGAGATTAGGATTTGTCACTCCGATTGTAGAAGAGGTATCTCTGGGCCCTCTCGGTAATGCACATCACCTAAGCCTTGCAAGCAATGCAACTAATGAGTTAGTTGCGAGATGATGTATTACGGAACGAGTAAAGAGACTTGCCGGCAACGAGATTGAACTAGCTATTGAGATATCGACGATCGAATCTCGGGCAAGTAACATACCGATGACAAAGGGAACAACGTATGTTGTTATGCGGTCTGACCGATAAAAGATCTTCGTAGAATATGTGGGAGCCAATATGAGCATCCAGGTTCCGCTATTGGTTATTGACCGGAGACGTGTCTCGGTCATGTCTACATTGTTCTCGAACCCGTAGGGTCCGCACGCTTAAGGTTTCGATGATAGTTATATTATGAGTTTATTAGGTTTGATGTACCGAAGTTAGTTCGGAGTCCCGGATGTGATCACGGACATGACGAGGAGTCTCGAAATGGTCGAGACATAAAATTGATATATTGGACGACTATATTCGGACACCGGAAGTATTCCGGAAAAGTTTCGGATAAAACCGGAGTACCGGGGGGTTATCGGAACCCCCCGGGGGTTAATGGGCCACATGGGCCTAAAGTGGAGAAGAGGAGGGGCGGCCAGGGCAGGCCGCGCGCCCCCTCCCCCTCTAGTCCGAATTGGACAAGGAGGGGGGCGGCGCCCCCCCTTTCCTTCCTCTCCTCTCTCCCTTCCTTCCCCCTCTCCTACTTGGACAAGGACAAGGACAAGGACTCCTCCCTGGTGCGCCTCCTCCTGGCCGGCCCCCCTCCCCTTGCTCCTTTATATACGGGGGCAGGGGGGCACCTCTAGACACACAAGTTGATCTTCGTGATCCTTCTCTTAACCGTGTGCAGTGCCCCCCTCCACCATATTCCTCAATAATATTGTAGCGGTGCTTAGGCGAAGCCCTGCGACGGTAGAACATCAAGATCATCACCATGCCGTCGTGCTGACGGAACTCTTCCCCGACACTTTGCTGGATCGGAGTCCGGGGATCGTCATCGAGCTGAACGTGTGCTAGAACTCGGAGGTGCCGTAGTTTCGGTGCTTGATCGATCGGGCCGTGAAGACGCACAACTACATCAACCGCGTTGTCATAACGCTTCCGCTATCGGTCTACGAGGGTACGTAGACAACACTCTCCCCTCTCGTTGCTATGCATCACCATGATCTTGCGTGTGCATAAGAATTTTTTTGAAATTATTACGTTCCCCAACAAAAAGCATGATGCAAAATGGACGTATCACCCACCACTAATGTGACTCTACCTATAAGACTTTCCCAAGTAGTGCATCACCAATGACAACATGTTAACAGAGAAAATGGAATGAACAAACAGTCTCGATTTCTTTTTCTCAAATATATACATTCATCTGGAAGAGGCATCTCAAAGATGTGTTGGTCACAATTATGAGAGAGATGAAAAAGACATGTCCGTACAGCTGTTCGTTCGATGGATGACCGCTAATGATGTTTCGTAAATTAGCATGTGCTAATTAACGAAAGGTCATGTGTGTAATGGAACTCTAACAGACATGACACAATCCCGGTCCAGCGTCGCCTTAGTCACGCCTGACACATATATCAACCACATTTCATGAGAACATTCTCAAACAGGTAGAAACATAGTCTTTCAGATAAACCCCGCTGTGAGAAAAGCGCTGTTTGGAACATATAAATTGAACACTGATGCATCTTCATTTTTAGGACGGTTCAGGCTCCCTGACTGCCATTGTTCATTGTTCGCAACAGCAGGGGTGAAGCTTTGGCGGGAGTTGCAGAACCTTTCGGAGTGGTTCCTGATGTAGCTACAGCGGAAGCAATAGCTGTGCGACGGGACCTCCAAGTAGCTCAGCAGATTGGATGCTCTAAAGTAATTGAGGAATCTGATTGCCTGGAGATCATCAATGCTTGCAATGGAGTATTTGATGTTTTGGCCCCATTAAACACAATAAGAGTCGCGTAAGGTGCGGGCGCTCGCCTATGCCACATCGACAAAGATGCATTGTGCGTGTTGGCCAATTGAAGAACGAGTTGGACTGGGGCCGGCCTTCTGTTTCTAGCCAATGAAATGAAACGAGGGGAGTTCTGCCTTTGGGCCTCGTCCTTCCTTCGTTCAGAAGAAAGAAAAGGGGAGATGAACCTCGAGCCCCACACGCCTTTCTTTCCCGAGCACGCAACCTCTCCTCCCCTCTCCAGAAAAATACCATCCTTCGACCTGGATCGGCTCACGCGACCGTCGGGCCATGTCGCCACCGACGCCGACGCCTGCCAACGGCGGCAGGCTGGATCTGGACGGCGTGCTCGTAGCGCTGCTCACCATCTGCGTGATCTGGGCCGACGGGTTCATCTCCTCCCACCTCTGTGAGAAGCTCATGGCCGAGACCCCGCACTCTGTCCTCGCTGTCGACCACCTCGTCGACCCACCCCCGCCCCACCTTGCCGGCTGCATCTCCTTCCCCTGCCTCAACATCAT